AAAATGTATGTGCGCTTGTCTATAATCCCCTGACAGTAGGCCTGGTTGATGATGACTGTATTCAATGACCATGGAACTGACTCGGCTCGAGGGTATTAACTTATACCAGGCTCGATTACTTAAAATATTAATTGCCATAAGCTCGCATTGGTCAAGATCCATCTCTACAATGTTTCCTCCTTTATCAGAGGGATTAAAGCGGAGCTCCACCTAAAAGGGGAAGTTCCGCTTTAAGCCTTTGTCCCACGCTCCCCATTAAGGATTGGCACCTTTGGGGAGCGGGGGGGGGGTACCCAAATTGACAGAGACCTAGGTGATTGCCTAGACAGATCGCCTAGGTGATCGGAAGTGGAAATTGGGCCATTCACAAAGCGTAGTGCTTTTTGCGCATGCGCAGTGGGCACCCGGCAGTGAAGCCGCAAGCTGTCACAACCGGGTGCACACACTGAAGATGCCGCGCCAGGGAGAAAAGACGGCTGGTGAAACCAACGATGGTGAGGACACCGCTGGACCAAGGGACAGGTAAGTGTCTGTATTTTAAGAGCCAGCAGCTACAGTTTTTATAGCTGCTGTTATTTTTTATTTTTCAGGTGAAACTCCACTTTAATAACAATTTGTTCATTGTTTAAAAGATACGTTAAGGCTCATTGCTGTGAATGTGTCAAACTGGACGTGGGCATTTCTCCCCAAGAGGTGTCCAAAATTGCTTAGCACACATGTTGTGTAAAGGCCCAAATGTTAGGGTTGGCTGTAGAGGTAAGCCTATGAGAAGGGAGTTTCAAACGTCGAGGCGAGAGAGAACAAAGGAGTGAATGAGTAGCTTGTTAGGTTCATTGGTTGAGAAGGGGTATACTTTGAAAATCTTTCGGAGGTGAAGTCTGCTAGATTTGGATTGTTGTTGGATTTGGGGCTGAAGGGACTACTTTAAATCATATGCAATATTTATATTATAGGCACACTTAAATGATGTATGGTTTTATACATAAAAATAATGGTGTTTCCCAAATATATATACCGCATTATGCACAAACTTTGTGTTGGTTTTGATATGATATAATAAAATTTCATCTGCAAGTCATCCAGTTAAATTTTCTACAAGTTGAATAACAAACATGTCATACTTACCTGCTCTGTGCAATGGTTTTGCACAGAGCAGCCCCAATCCTCCTCTTCTTGGGTTTCCCACCAGTGCTTCTGGCCCCTTCCCCCTGTTTAGTGCCCCCACAGCAACCTGCTTGCTGTGGGTGCACTCATGTGTGCTTGCTTCCGAGCTGGCTCTGTATGCCTATAGAACACATAGAGTTTGGCTCAATCCCGCCCCCTGCTCCCTTCTTACTGGCTGTGAGTGACAGTGGCTCCCACTGCTGTGTCTCAACCAATGGGGAGGGAGAGAACCTGGAAAGCCTTGGCCAGTAAGAGGGGACAATGGGGGGCTGCGAAGGAACTGCACACTGAAGACTTTTTACCTTCATGCATAGAATGCAAGAAGGTTAAAATCTTCAGCCTTTTTCAATCGCGTTAAATTTGCTTTACTGAGAAAATGAGAGTAGCTAGCACATTTCAGGGATACATGCACCACCTTTATCAGTGCAAAATAGCATATACATATAAATGTAAGACTAGAGAAAAATAAAAACATTTACATTTATAGATTTAATATGATAAATTAAAATGATTGATGAATTATTACACCTAACAAAAGGATCAAGTCTCTATTTCTTGCTGTTTTTGCAGGTTGCCTCTGCAATAGTCAACTTCACAGAGAGATGTGTAATGGGAAATACAAAGTACGAGGGGCGGACTGATCATTTGGAAACTCGGGCACTGCCCGAGGGCCGGGGGTCAGTAGGGGGCCCCATGAGATGCCCCTGGTACCTTTTTCATAGGCTTTTTTGAGTTTGGGAAAGGACACAGGGGCCCCAGGATCCCCTAATGCCCGGGGGGCCCCATGAGTTGTCAGTCCGCCCCTGCACAGTACACACATATAGCCATCAGAGGGGGAAGGAGCAAATATGTATATGAAACAGTTTATTTACATTATGGGAACCATCTAAAATGTTGCAGCAAAATTTTCTTTCCTATTATCTTTACAGCACTCAAGGAAAGTCACAATGGTGTCACTTCTGAAGTGGATGGCAATGTTCAGTAAGGATCAGGGGCGGACTGACCATTTGGGAACTCGGGCACTGCCCGAGGGCCCGGGGTCAGAAGGGGACCCTAGGAGATGCCCCTGGTACCTTTCATAGGCTTTTTTTGGGTGTGGTTTGAGTATGGGCAAGGACACAGGGGCCCCATGATCCCCTATTGCCTGGGGGCCCCATGAGTTGTCAGTCCCCTTCTGGTAAGGATTGAACATTGTCCCCTCTTACTGGCCCCACTCTCCTACTGCTCCCTCTCTGAGCACCTGCCAACATACTGTACAGTCCCTCTGCACCTTCTCCCGACTCTACAGGAGGAATGATATTGCTCTGTCCGCTATGGCTCCCCTTTCAGTGTAGTGCCCGGGGGGCACACGCTCCCCCTGCCCCCCCCCCCCAGTTTCAGCCCTGGTTAGTGTAAATTGATCCCCCGATCCACTTATGCTCACCTCTCAAGCAATCCCCCTGCCATTCTTTTTTTTTTGGTGAAACCATCCCAAAATATCTGGTGCTTCAGTGACAATTTTTCTTTAACAATTTCAAAGTTTCTTAAATTCCAATATTCATTCTGGATGTGTCTGCAAATCCATGTTTATACTGTACGTATCAGTAGAGCTGAATTTAAAAGCTGAATTTAAAAGCCAATACTTAAAGTGTTACTAAAACCATAGCGGTAAAGCAGGGGTATTGAATTAAAATTCAAGGAGGTCCGGTCACTAAAAGTTTCTTATAACTAGGGTGTGCCCATCAGTGTGCCCCCTTATATTAGGTGTCGCCATCAGAGTGCAACTTTACACCATATAATCCCATCACACCAGTTGTCTCCATCAAAGTGCTCCATTACATCAGTGGTCCCCATCAGAGTGCTCCGTTACATCAGTCGTCCCCATCAGAGTGCTCCGTTACATCAGTCGTCCCCATCAGAGTGCTCCGTTACATCAGTCGTCCCCATCAGAGTGCTCCGTTACATCAGTGGTCCCCATCAGAGTGCTCCGTTACATCAGTCGTCCCCATCAGAGTGCTCCGTTACATCAGTCGTCCCCATCAGAGTGCTCCGTTACATCAGTCGTCCCCCATCAGAGTGCTCCGTTACATCAGTCGTCCCCCATCAGAGTGCTCCGTTACATCAGTCGTCCCCATCAGAGTGCTCCGTTACATCAGTCGTCCCCATCAGAGTGCTCCGTTACATCAGTGGTCCCCATCAGAGTGCTCCGTTACATCAGTGGTCCCCATCAGAGTGCTCCGTTACATCAGTGGTCCCCATCAGAGTGCTCCGTTACATCAGTCGTCCCCATCAGAGTGCTCCGTTACATCAGTCGTCCCCATCAGAGTGCTCCGTTACATCAGTCGTCCCCATCAGAGTGCTCCGTTACATCAGTCGCCCCATCAGAGTGCTCCGTTACATCAGTCGTCCCCATCAGAGTGCTCCGTTACATCAGTCGTCCCCATCAGAGTGCTCCGTTACATCAGTCGTCCCATCAGAGTGCTCCGTTACATCAGTCGTCCCCATCAGAGTGCTCCGTTACATCAGTCGTCCCCATCAGAGTGCTCCGTTACATCAGTCGTCCCCATCAGAGTGCTCCGTTACATCAGTCGTCCCCATCAGAGTGCTCCGTTACATCAGTCGTCCCCATCAGAGTGCTCCGTTACATCAGTCGTCCCCATCAGAGTGCTCCGTTACATCAGTCGTCCCCATCAGAGTGCTCCGTTACATCAGTCGTCCCCATCAGAGTGCTCCGTTACATCAGTCGTCCCCATCAGAGTGCTCCGTTACATCAGTCGTCCCCATCAGAGTGCTCCGTTACATCAGTCGTCCCCATCAGAGTGCTCCGTTACATCAGTCGTCCCCATCAGAGTGCTCCGTTACATCAGTCGTCCCCATCAGAGTGCTCCGTTACATCAGTCGTCCCCATCAGAGTTCTCCGTTACATCAGTCGTCCCCATCAGAGTGCTCCGTTACATCAGTCGTCCCCATCAGAGTGCTCCGTTACATCAGTCGTCCCCATCAGAGTGCTCCGTTACATCAGTCGTCCCCATCAGAGTGCTCCGTTACATCAGTCGTCCCCATCAGAGTGCTCCGTTACATCAGTCGTCCCCATCAGAGTGCTCCGTTACATCAGTCGTCCCCATCAGAGTGCTCCGTTACATCAGTCGTCCCCATCAGAGTGCTCCGTTACATCAGTCGTCCCCATCAGAGTGCTCCGTTACATCAGTCGTCCCCATCAGAGTGCTCCGTTACATCAGTCGTCCCCATCAGAGTGCTCCGTTACATCAGTCGTCCCCATCAGAGTGCTCCGTTACATCAGTCGTCCCCATCAGAGTGCTCCGTTACATCAGGTATCCCCATCATTATGTTAAGGGACACTGTGATGGGCACATTCTATGTTGTGCATCTTAACATTAAATGTGCCCATCAGCATGACCCTTTAACATTCAATGTACCCATCAGAGTGCCCTTGTCAGACTACACCCTATCTTGAGGGCAGACAGGAGCTGTGCCGGGATCCTTGTGTACAGGCAGGGAGCAGGAGCCAGAGAGACAGTGAGCTGCAAGGGGAGGGGCGCACACGTGATGTCATTTTGCCGTGATGACCGCCCTGCTCAGCGGCTGATCTGTCATTGCAGGCTGGTGGGCTGGTGGTCCAGAAGGAAGCACTGCTGGGGCCATTCTCGGACCGCGATTCACCATTTAGTGACCGCTGCAGTAAAGCATGCTTGTTATACTCACTGTGGAATCTAAGGGGTTAATCCTCTGCATTGTGTAAAAAAGCCATTTGATCCTGTCTTCTCTGCTTCTCCTCTTGTTCAAAGGTCCATGTCTTATCTCCTGATAAGACTGACTGAACTGTAGCCATTCTGCACATGCTCAGTTTAGTGTGTATTGCTAGACAGGTTTTTTTTTTTTTTCTTGGGAGAGTGCATGTGATCAACACAGGGCCAATCAGTACTAACCAGACAGAAGTCAGGGGTTTTGCATCTGCCTAGAGCAGAAGGAGAACTCCTCCTACAAGCTTTAGGGTATTGGCAGGTATCTGAAGGCAGGTATCTTTTACTTTTTAAAGTGTTACTAAACCCACAACAGTAAAAATCATTCTGTATTTGCTCGAAAGAGTAGGGCCCTCTAACCCCTCGTGTGCTGTTTGTAGTTGCTGTACTGTTTCATGTATTGTCCCCCCCTCTATTGTACAGCGCTGAGCAAACCCTTTGGCGCTATATAAACTCGATGTAACATATATATATATATATATATATATATATATATATATATATATATTTGCAGTAAAGCATGCTTGTTATACTCACTGTGGAACCCAAAGGGGTTAATCCTCAACATTGTGTAAAATCACTGTTTGATCCTATCTTCTCTGATCATCCCCTTCTTCCAGTGTCCCCCTCTATCTCTTGATAAAACATATTGTGTGTGGAGTCAGTCTGCACATGCTCAGTTTGGTGTGTATTACCAGAGAGGTTTTTTTTTTCCCCTGCGAGAGTGCATGTGATCAGAACAGGGCCAATCAGCACTCTCCATACAGATGTCAGGGGTTCTGCATCCTCCTAGAGCAAAAATAAAACTTCTCCTACAAGCTTTAACCAGTGCTCTGCTGAACACTGAGAGAAGTCACAAGACTGGTCTAACTGCTGATGAGAAAAGGTATTTAGCAGTTTATATTTACAAGAATAATTGCATTCCCATGTTGTGTGTACTGTGGGAGACCAGATATAGTGAGTGCAGGGTCCGGGGGTTTAGTAACACTTTAAGGCAGTAACCTTAGTGCTACTGATGTTAGCACGACCACCATGCATGATATCCTTTATAAGAAGCACTTGACAACGCACAGTAAACCTGCCCAGAATCTATTAGTTGTGGCCAGAATGTGTTGTCTATATATTTTCCCCTTTTAGAGTGGGATGTCTATAAGCATTGCCTTGCTATAATGCTGCAGCATCCTGCAGATCCCAAGAAGTATGAAGTGTAGACAGGAGGCGTGCTCTTCTCTTATCTTTGACACAGGATACCACAAGGATATTTTGTAGTCAGATTATGGGCAGGATGCAGAGGAGACACAGCGCACCCAGGATGTAAGTGCCTAGGCTTAGCATGGACTTCATTTACAGGTTAGTGACAAATGCCATTAAGCACCATTTTACAATATGCTGTCTCAGATCCGTTCTGCAGCTCTGGTTCACTGACAGTAATTAAGGCCTTCATTGCTCTCAACAAAATGTCTTTTTTTCTAAGCCTTCATACCATTCATTTGTGTAATCAATATTATTGTATGTACTTTTTCATCACTTTTCAGACAGTGCCCTCTATATATATTCATCTGTTAACTCTGTTTTAATACAATGTCCTTCATTCATCTTTGAAAAATCATGTGTTTAATCTATAGCATAGCTGCATAGAGCAAAGCTCAGAAACACAGCTTTAGGTTTTTATGAATTAGTACTGTGTTTATTTATTATTATTATTTAATTCAAAGATGTGTAGATGCAATTTCAATTAAATAGTGTATTGCTTTGCAACATCCCTGAACCATTTAAGATCTGTCTTTATATGTTTATTCCTATAGCACTATTTGAAACATATGTAAACCTCCATTTATGTTAAAAAAAAAACCCAAATCCTACAAATATTAGTTGTATATCATTTTTATTCAGGTCTTTATTTTATGGGTATGTAATTCTAGTAAACTGCTCTCACAGGATAAATGTACCATAGAGGAAAGCACAGTGGTGTCAGTCTCATGCAGTGCAATGCTAAAATCTGCATTAGTAAAGGTTCAGGGGCAGACTGACAACTCATGGGGCCCCCGGGCAATAAGGGATCATGGGGCCCCTGTGTCCTTGCCCAAGTTCAAAAAAGCCTATGAAAAAGGTACCAGGGGCATCTCATGGGGCCTCCTACTGACCCCGGGCCCTCGGGCAGTGCCCGAGTTTCCAAATGGTCAGTCCGCCCCTGGGTTGTACATGCGTTCACCAAAACTGAATACAATTTGATTTTTTTTTTTTTTTTAAGTGGCAGTGTCACTTTATTCTTTGCAGACGATGTAGAATCTGTAATGCAATAACTGAAAAGATTTGCACTTAAGTGGTTCTAAAGGCTAGACATTTTCCCCCCTAATGCATTCCCTGCATTAAGGAAAATAATGTCTGAGTTCTAGTATCACCCTCTTATCTCCCTATATACTTTCCTAAGTCCTATCTCTATCCAGAGCTTTGCCTGTCTGCAGCGGTGCTCATCTGTGTCTCACAGGCACATAGACAGCAGCAGGAGCCATTGGCTCCTGATGCTGTCAATCAAATCCTGTGAGGAAGGGGCAGGGGCCAAGCCACGCTGTGTGTATCTATGGATGCACATAGCCCAGTTCAGGAGAGAGCCCAAACATCTGCCCCATAACAAGTAGTTTTCTATGGTGGAAGACACAGAATAGAAGGAGTCAAGATCACCGGCGTTGGGGATCCTAGAAGAGAAGGTTCAAGGCTGCTCTGTGAAATACCATTGCACAGAGCAGGTATCTATAACATGTTTGTTATTTTAGAAAAAAAAAACATTCGACCCTCTACAACCAGTCCAACAAGTAGGGATGTACTGCTCCAGGCTGATCCCCCTCTTCTCTAGCCCCCTAGTCCATACAGGAAGCTGCCAGCCCAGCTCACAACCGCAGAAACATCAATAAAGGTGGATGACCGCACGCTAGTCATGGAAAATCCAGAAACTTTATTGAAGCAATCCATAAGTATAAAACATTACACCCATTCAGGCAAGCAACAAATGTTTGTTCCTTGCTTGTGGGGCTGTGATGTTTTATACTTATGGATTACTGCAGTAAAGCTTCTGGATTTTCCATGCTCTAGTGTGCGGTCATCCACCTTTCTTTCTTGAAGCCTTTACAACTGCTTTAGTAAAAGGTCCAACACAAGCATCACTACAATAAAAAGATGAGAAAACAGAAGGCCACAAATAATGTATCAAAATGAATATATATTAATATTAATGCCCAATACCGGGACAAGTTCATCTATCCCAAGGATGCGGAACTGCACCCCCTCCCCCACTGATAATACATGCTGTAGAATGGGTTTAATGCCTTTTGTCCATTCTCTTTCCCCTTCCTCCGCTATGCCCAGGGCAGCTGTCACTCCTCCCCACCCCTTGTCTCTGCCCTGATAATACCATACACACTTTTACATAAAGAGTATATCTTTTTAAATCACATGGAAGGCTACATCCAATACAACAGTAAACCAAGAACATGTATTAAGAGACAATTGCAACTTAACAAATGACCCAGCTGGAAGGCATCACACGGGGTGCTCACAGTTTCGTACAACTTGAAAATGCAGCAGATTCTGATGCACCAATAGTGACTGTCTCAGAAGGTGGAATATGGCCTGACAGGTCTGGTCCCAATAGGGAGGATCCCGATGTAGGTTGGCATGTCCCTCACCTGTCCCTACTCATCTGGAATCACTCCCTGAGAGCTAATCACTTTCCCAGACAGACAGGAACTCTTTCCCTGCACTATCCACTTGGCAGAATGTATGCCAAACCTGGGTACAGTGACCTAATAAGGCTCTGTTGACTCAAGATGGCTGACCAAGGTCAACTGAACGTAGTGTAGCCAATTGGAATGTTGCTTCAGGAGACCAGGAAACCATAGAGAAACCAGGTTTCTCAAAACTTCCTCACTGGCTGCAGTACTGCTGTAGTTGAGCACCCCCTACAGTGAAGGAAGCAGACTGAACCTTCCTACATGCAACCACCCCTTACCAACATAGGCAGTTTTTTTTTTCAAAGGTGAACTAAGCTTTTAAAGGCAGTGATTGAGTCTGAGTGGCAAATCCCCAGGCCTACAAACTGAAGGAGGAAGAGGTTAACCTTGTGTAAGCTCCGACACTATCTAACACAGAGCTTGCACAAGGTTAGGACTCCCAGCTCTGATGGGGGGGGGGGGGGGGCACAGGGAAAGCGATTATCAGTTCCTTACAAGAAAACCAGTCATTTTGTCATGCGACAGAGTCTTTTTAACCACTTAGGTACCAGTCAGTAATAGCCCTTCATTACCAGGCCATTTCTGCAGTTTGCAGTGCTGTGATGCTTTGATAATTATGCTGTCATGCAGCACAATACCCAAATTATATTTATATAATTTTTTTTAAACAGATAGAGCTTTCTTTTGGTGGTATTTAATAGATAAAATTATAAAGAAAAAATAATTTCCCTTAATTTCCTGGTAAAATAAAAATGTCAGGATAGTTTGAAACCCCCCAAAATGATCACTTTCAAGAAACATTGTTAGCTCCAGTGTTTTGGAAATAAAGAAGTATGCTGGTATTGAGGGAGTTAAAGCGTGGAGCTTGGTAATGGTGCACTAAATACAACGCATACAGATCATACACAGAGGAAGTAGGGGATGAAGAGGTTAATGTACAGATGTGCAAGATAAGGGAGGTGAAGGATTAAAGTGGTTGTAAACTCTTACATATATCCAAAGGAGTGCCTGGCCTCAGGTGATATACAGGGATGAAACAAATCCTCCTACATAAGTTGTACCTGTCTATCTGCAGTCTTCTCTTCTCTACATCCGTTCAAAGTGCTGATTTGATAAAATTACACTCTTCAGAGCTTAGTGAGGAGTGCTCTGGCAACTGATTGGAAGTAAGGGACACACACCTCCACACACCTCCCAGGAACAGAGCTGAGGCTGTCAATCTGCTGGAGATCCCTCCCCTGTCACCTTTTTTCTCCTGGTGTCAGGAAAACTTGTCAGATGTGATTCATGCTGATAGCAGAGGAACAAAGCAGCAGATGGAAATGACACTTAATGCTCCTAATTGAGACACAATATAGAGGGATATGCATTGTTCATATTTCATGGCTGAGGTTTACAACCACTTTAAAAGAGAAGCGTGGGATTGCTTTTTTTTCACTCATTTAGATCAGTTTGACCATTTGAATTGAAAGCCAAAGTAAAGTATAGCCATATATCTCAAAAATACATACTATTTATATGTACAATTTCTTTACATTCAAGGTTTTGTAAAATATAAACACAACCACCACAATAATTTTATCAATCTGATATTGCATACCTGTATTGAAAAAACTATTTAAATGAAAATAAAGGGTTATGTGCAGTATGAGGATCATGCAGGAATGTAAAATATGTATGTGAATTAAGAAATCATCCAAGACTATACCAGCAAGCTGCTACTTTTACATTTCCTAAACATTCAGTCACTATCCTGTAAACAGAATGTAAGCATATATAGCATAGAGCAGTCAATAAAAAAAACACAAGGAACAATAAAATACTGAACTAACTGAGTTATCAAATGATATTTTTCCCCATGAATGCCCACAGATGCCTTTTGCATGCACCAAGCATGGATTAACTTTAGGTCTAGGATGTTGATGCAGATTGACACTTATAATTTTCAAAGTAGAAGACAGTAATAGAGGACTTAATGCTAGGTTCACACTAATGCACTGCGATTTTGATCCGATTTTCAGTGTGATTTTCTAGTGCAGTTGCAGTGTGACTTGATGAGATTCTGATTAAATGTTTGTACCACGTACAAGGGGCGGACTGACAACTCATGGGGCCCCCGGGCAATAGGGGATCATGGGGACCCCTGTGTCCTTGCCCAAACTAAAAAAAAAACCTATGAAAAAGGTACCAAGGGCATCTCATGGGGCCCCCTACTGACCCCTGGCCCCCGGGCAGTGCTCGAGTTTCCAAATAAGTCTGCCTCTGCCACGTACTTGTTTGAGAAAGTATCCTCTTCTCTGTGCATTGCTTGATTTGTGTAAAATTCCTGGTGTTCCTGCCAGTCCCTCTGTTTTCCTATGAAAAACTGACCACACTAGGCATGAGAGAACAGTGTTACCAGTTCAGAATTCAACCTGCTCTCCTCCAATGATCAGATTAGTCCTGACACCCTTCCTTTTCCTGCACAGCCTTTAACTGGGAAGGTCAGTGTTCTGCTGTTTCTCCACCCCACAGCATTCTAAGCTCCTTATGCAGCTGAGAACAGAGCCCTCCAGCTGTTGCCAAACTACAAGTCCCATGAGGCATTGCAAGATTTACAGTTACAAGCATGACTCCCAAAGGCAGAGGCATCATGGGACTTGTAGTTTTGCAGAAGCTGGAGGGCCTTCAGTTTGACACCCCTAACCTATACAAAAGGGAAAACAGTTATGTGAAATGTTTTGCATTTTATTTCTATTTTAAACTGAGTGGGTTGTTTTACAAGGTGAAGGTTCACATATAGTTTAAGTATCCATAACATAATCCAATCATTATCAGTAGGGACCTCCTGAAGGAAATCTTTGGTCACAGCACAAACTTTCATTATATAACATCAGCATTGTAATAGCAATACAAAAAAAATATTTGACAATTCAATATAAGCCTACTTGAAAAATCTCCTTTCTTGTCATGCGTGCTGCCTGTCATCTCTTTCCACTACTTTCTGGATTCCCTGCATGCCTTTCTGGTTCTCTGTTTACTTTCAATTTCTAAGAACTACATATCCCATGGTACCTGGATTCCTGTACTAACTCCACCTCCTGAAACTCCTCTTCTCAGCACCTCTGTAGTACAGAAGGCAGGCTCTGTGAAATATGTGACACAGCAGTGCCTACTCACAGGACATAGCGAATAAAAGAGATGTGTGGGGAGCTTCACAAAGTAAGTTTAGAAACCTCTGCGTCAGAGTAATAAGATTAGGGCGGACATAATTCAGATAAAAGGTGGAAATGAATATTTGATTTTACATGTTCATCATAGATACACTGTAAGTGAAGCAGCGTTATCTGCCATAAAACTCTTTTTCCAGTGAATTGGGCCACTCATCCCTATTTAGGACCTCAATGTTTGCAAAAATATAACTGTGCCCAGTCCTGGTCTCAACAGCATATTGTACATGGACATCTTTGTTTCCACCATGACTGACTTTATTGTGTCCCTGCATGTGCTACTGCCGCAATACCCATAAAGCATCCCTGGATGTATTATTCTCATTTCAACCGCTTGGTGATCCACCCATGACTTCTACTACATTACTGCAAAAGGCAAGGCATCCACATCGGTGATCGGTGATCCACCCATGACTTCTACTACATTACTGCAAAGAAGGCATCCACTCGGTGATCCACCCATGACTTCTACTACATTTCTGCAAAGAAGGCAACCGCTCTGTGATCCACCCATGACTTCTACTACATTACAGCAAAAAAGGCAACCACTCAGTGATACACCCATGACTTCTACTACATTTCTGCAAAGAAGGCAACCACTCGGTGATCCACCCATGACTTCTACTACATTTTCTGCAAAGAAGGCAACCGCTCTGCGATCCACCCATGACTTCTACTACATTTCTGCAAAGAAGAAGGCAGCTGCTCGGTGATCTACCCATGACTTCTACTACATTTCTGCAAAGAAGGCATGACCGCTCTGCAAAGATCCGATCCACCCATGCTGCTCGGTGATCTACCCCATGACTTCTACTACATTACAGCAAAAAAGGCAACCACTCAGTGATACACCCATGACTTCAACTACATTTCTGCAAAGAAGGCAACCACTCGGTGATCCACCCATGACTTCTACTGCATTTCTGCAAAGAAGGCAACCGCTCGGTGATACACCCATGACTTCTACTACATTTCTGCAAAGAAGGACCAACGTCAAAGGTTTATTCAATCAAGCAGTGTAGAGTAATGATGTACATAGTGCAGTGACCCATAGTCACTATAAATAAAACACATTCTTTCTTTGCTGACCTGACTCTGGACTTTCTAAACAAAGTCCTTCAGACTTTTGGGCTCCAGACCTTAGCCATCAGGAGTAGAAAATGTCCCGGCATCAGTGAAAGTCAGCAACGCACCATCTTTGGTGTCAGTGGGAAGAATTGTGCCACATCATTGGTGTCATTGGGCCATATTGTTGGTGTCATTGGGAGACACTGTACCCCATCGTTGATGTCATTGGAGGAATTCTGCCCCTTCAGTGGTGTCAGCAGATGAAATAGTGCCTGAGGGCCAGATAAAAACAAGCAAAGGACTGCAGTTTGAAGGCCACTGCTCTAGAAAATTGTGATCTGAAAAAAAAAGCTAAGAAGAGGAGAGTCCAGTCACATGACCTCTGGAAGTCTGCAAAGAATACTTCAGTGGATAGCAGTAGCTGCTGTCCATTAGAAATGGGTGCTTGTAAGTGATATGGCCACTGTCTACCATAAAAAAAATTGACATTTAAAAAAAAAAAATGTTTCAACTTATTTTCATCCTTTTCAGTCTATACAATATATACTGCTCAAAAAATGTAAGGAACACATCAGATCTCAATGAGGATAAAGATAATGCTGGATATCTATACTGATATGGACTGGGTAATTTGTTAGGAACGTAAGGATGCCCCATCGTTTGATGGAAATGAAAATTATCAACCTACAGAGGACTGAATTCAAAGACACCTCAAAAATCAAAGTGGAAAAATTATGCAGCAGGCTAGTACCTTTTTGCTGAAATTTAATTGCAGCAACTCAAAATGGCACTCAGTAGTTTGTATGGCCCCCACGTGCTTGTATGCATGCCTGACAACGTTGGGGCATGCTCCTAATGAGACGACGTATGGTGTTCTTGGGTATTTCCTCCCAGATCTGGACCAGTGCATTGCTGAGCTCCTGGACAGTCTGAGGTGCAACCTGGCGGCATCGTATGGACCGAAACATGATATCCCAGAGGTGTTCTATTGGATTTAGGTCAGGCGAGTGTGGTGGCCATTTAATGGTATCAATTCCTTCATCCTCCAGGAACTGCCTGCATACTCTCGCCACATGAGGTCGGGCATTGTTGTGCACCAGGAGGAACCCAGGACTCACTGCACCAGTATAGGGTCTGACAATGGATCCAAGGATTTCATCCTGATACCTAATGCCAGTTAGGGTGCCATTGTCTAGCCTGTAGAGGTCTGTGCGTCCCTCCATGGATATGCCTCCCCAGACCATCACTGACCCAGCACCAAAGCGATGTTACAGGCAGCATAATGTTCTCCACAGCTTCTCCAAACCTTTTCATGTCTGTCACATGTGCTCAGGATGAACCTGCTCTCATCTGTGAAAAGCACAGGGTGCCAGTGGTGGAATTGCCAATTCTTTTGTTCAATGGCAAATGCCAATTGAGCTCTATGGTGCCGGGCAGTGAGCACAAGGCCCACTAGAGGATGTCAGGCCCTCAGGCCACCCTCGTGAAGTCTGTTTCTGACTGTTTGGTCAGAGACATTCACACCAGTGGCCTGCTGAAGGTCATT